ACCCAAACCACTCTGGGATTCTATGCTATTTTGTGTGTTGTATTCCAGGCAGTAGAAGCTTGTGCTGCACAATTAGAAGGATCATTTATGTATTTCTCTAGTGAAACCTAAGCTCCTCCGTGGTGGCCCGAGGATGTTTCCCATTGTTCAGTCAGCTGTCTCCTGCCCGTGGGCATGGCTCCGTCGGGGCTGGAGACTTACTGCGTGGCTGTCAGTTATACCCAAGTGCACTGAGTGTCTGAATGTGCCGGCTGTCACAAGGGGTGGGTGACTGACTGGGGCGCAGTGCGTGTACTTTGTAACCCAGTACTGTCCTAAACCTGAAAAGAATGCTTGCAGAAATGCCGTGTCTGCTATTTGACCTGCACGGGTACCTGACGCTTGTGCAGACTTCTCGGTGTGCACTGAGGAGTATCATTTCTGTTTGTTTTGCTAACGTTAATCTTAAAATTCATTTTCTCTGAGATTGCCTGTAACTGTTTTGCAAGAATTCTAATTAAGTTGGGAGTTTCACAGCTGCAGTGAAAAATAAGAGTGAGAATTTGCTGTTCCTGCCCTTGCTCATCTTGTTTCCAGAACTTGTGGAGCAGTAGCCTGCCTGTTCTAATGTGTAGTGAGAAGACTGACTCAAGACTGCTGTGCTGGGGGGAATAGGGTCAGGACACTTGATTCCAAGTTACCTGAGTACCTTACTGTTAGTACTGCTTTTTCCATGGCCTGCAGATGGTGATACTACTTTGATTTGTTGATACTGTCTTAGATTTACTTCTGTTCTTGTTCACAGTGTGTTATACTGACTGAAGTAAATCTGTTGCTGCAGAAGAAGATTAATGACTTCTGTCACGCTCAGCAGCCACCTATCAAGGTAATAGAAAAAAATCAACACGTGAATAATCCGTGTAGTGAGCATTCCAGACCTCCGTGTTCTCTCCAGGCATGGAGAAAGCTCGTTACGAGGTTTAGAGTTCCGTGCATGTAGCATGTCGGTGGAGCAGTGTGTGCTTTGGGAGCACAGTAAATAGCACTCACCATTTACTTTCTCTTGTAGTTCATCAGTGCGGATGTGTATGGCATATGTTCCCGTTTGTTTTGTGACTTCGGTGATGAATTTGAAGTGCTGGATACGACGGGAGAGGAGCCAAAGGAGATCTTCATTTCAAACATAACTCAAGTAAGCGATGGAAGTCGTTGTGCTGCTTTCAATTGTTTTTTTTCATAATGACCTGTTGGCTGTGTGACCACGCCGAGAGTCTCACTTCAGCAGCCTGCTAAGCAGTTGAAAATTGCCAGCATGGCAGAGGCACACAGAGCTACTGTGGTGTTTGGATCACAACCACTCAGTGAGAATGTGCTAACACAGAGCACCCTGATGCCTCTGGGTGTTACTTAGTGTGACACAACAGTACTGAGTCTCCTTTTGGGAGAGGAAGGAAGGAAGAAGGGAAAGGAAAGGAAGGAAGGAATGTAGATCCCCCTTTTTATGAGAAAATACAGCATATAGAAAGGAGGACTACAGGAATGATCAAGGGGGTGGAAAACCTGATTTGAAAAGAAATTTCAAGATTTATTTTAACCTGCCAAAGCGGAGACGATGAGAAGAGGATATTATTGCTCATACTTCCAGGGGAATGTTAGAGCAGATGTCCATGTGAGCTGGTATGACTGCTTTATGAATGGAAACGACTTGAGCTCCTCCTCTCACCCCTGGAAGTCCAGATTGTGGCCTCACTCACCCAGCAGCAAGTCTTTTGCCCTATCTCCAGTCTGGATGTCATACTGGACGAACTAGAGGGGGTTGGATACAAGTTGGGATTGATGTGAATTAAAGCTCATGATACGATGATCTGGGTAGCCTGTTCTTTGGTATCTTTAAAAGGGAGTGGGTGATTTGATTGTTCTCATTAATTACAGAAAGAGTATGCAGTAGTGTTTCATGGTTTGTGCCAAGTCAGGGAATGGATATATACCTGTATAGATCTCTACTGATTCCGAATTTGGTACTTGAGCTTAGTTGTATCTTGCTTCTACTCTGAAGTGTAAAACGGATCAGAATTACAGCTCGGTACCAAAACCACCATCAGGTGTCTGTTCTTGCCCTGTGAACAGGGTTGAGGTGGCATTCTGTCCCTAAATCAAAGAAGAATTTTCCTTGGTCACCGCATTTGCCATTCTCCAGTGGATTACATTCCCTGTGGCATGCAGTTAAGTTTTATGCTACTTTACTGACATCTTTTTACTGCTGGGAGATCAGGAAGGGCTGGCAGGAGACATTACACCTGGGCTTGCTGGCAAAGCCGCTGTTACAGCCTGAGCAGCACCACGAGGCCGTGATGAGCCATCCTCAGACTGCAGAGGGGTCTCTGGTTCACGGGAGGTTGGCACAGCATCCTGTAGTGGGATGGGATGTTGTCCGAGATCCCTGCGAGTGTAAGCTTGTTTGTTCGTCAGCCACTTCAGGCTGTGGATTTCCTGGATTTAGGGATGTCCACGTTTGTAATCTTCCTAATTTTCAAGAATGAGTTTGGGGTGTCCTTGAGGAGATCAGGTGGAAAGGCAGCACAGTAGTAAGAGAATTCACAAGACTTGATTTATTGATGTCTGTGATTGTGCGTATGATCTGGCTTTGGTTTGGAAAAGGACGTGGATTTGCTGCTACTTTAGGACAGAACAGTGAATTTGACTGCTAAGAGCAAACAAATGTGGTTTGTGAACAAGCTGCCACCTAGGAGTTAAAATGGGAAGGTCAGTGTTATGAAAGCACTGTTAAACTGAAAATAGCAGAACTGAGAACGTTACCTGCGATGACCCCCTGTTACAGCAGAAGGGAGGTGCTAACAGGATTAGAGGCTGCAGTTTCAACCGGCAAAAGGCTCTGTGGCTGCGGTAAAGCGGCGATGCTCCGCAGGCAGTGTCCTCCCTGCTAACTTTGGCGTTTTCTCTTTCAGTCAAACCCTGGTATTGTCACTTGCCTTGAAAATCATCCACACAGGCTTGAGACGGGACAGTTCTTAACCTTCCGGGAAGTTAATGGAATGTCATGCTTGAATGGGTCCACACACCAAATAACAGGTATAGAATCTTAGAATCCCAGAATGGTTTGGGTTGGAAGGGACCTTAAAGATCATCTAGTTCCAACCCCCCTGCCACGGGCAGGGACACCTTCCACTAGACCAGGTTGCTCCAAGCCTCATCCAGCCTGGCCTTGGACACTTCCAGGGATGGGGCATCCACAGCTTCTCTGGGCAACCTGTCCCAGTGCCTCCCCATCCTCTCTGGGAAGAATTCCTTCCTGATGTCTAATCTAAACCTCGCATTTGCGAGGTGTCTGCTTTGGCCTGTCTTGACGCGCGGTAGCGTTAGTAGCTGTAGGCAGAGGAGTGCTGGATTGTGCAGACCCCTGGTGAGCCTGCACAACACAACTGCTTTCTGATGTAAAGTCCTAGTGTTGTCTTGACTGCGTTTCCGTTTAGTGAAGTCTTTCCAAACTCATCTTGCTGTGGAGCAGCAGGAACTCTCAGCTCATGGAGACTAGTTGGCACCCTCCGAGGTTACTGCCATTAGTTTGCTGCCAGAACTGGTTTGTTTTTTGGAGGGTGCCCTAATGCCTCTGCTTCTGTCACAGTTTTGGACCAAATTAGCACCACTTTGTGTGTCACTGTTTCCCTTGTATTTTGGGGGGTTACAGTTTGTACAGGAAACATTTGTTTCCAAGCATGCTTTGGAAGGGATTCACGTCTTCCTGCTTTATCTGGATGATGCTCCAGGTGGTGGGAGAAATGTGACTCAAATGCTCCAGCTGCCCTTTTTGATCACCTGTTGTTCCAACCACGGGGCTACAACCCTCCTCTGAGCAATATTGGCCATGCTGTGCACAGCCCAAATGAAACGGAGCGATTTCATTTTTGCTGAAGAGCTGTGGTCATCAGAATTCTTAAATCTGCTGCCACTTTAAAAAGCTTATTTCATAACAAATCATGTGAAACTAATACTTTAGCCCAGAAACTGGCAGAGAGGGACAATCCTGTTAATTGGGAGGATCAGCTGTGCTGCTTTCAAAGCAAGGTTGCACACTACAAAATAACAGCACAAAAAGCATTAGCAAACCCCCACTTTATTGTAAACAGAATTGTAGTATCCGGTGATGCTTTTAATTATTCGTCACTGTTTATTCTCTTCTCTTTCCAGTGGTGTCACCTTATTCCTTCAGCATCGGTGATACGTCGGAAATGGAGCCGTACCTACACGGAGGCATAGCTGTCCAAGTGAAGACGCCCAAGATGTTCTACTTTGTAAGTGTGAGCTTGACATAACCAGGCCTCTGGGTGTTAATGGTCCGAGCGCTGGATGCAGGGGTCAGCAGACACATTGTTTGGGTTTATGCTAATTTTGTTGGGTAGGAACAGAGATACCGATTTGCTAAACCGTGGAGAATAGGAAATAGTTCAAAACTGCCTGCTAGCATAGAGGAAAAAATGATTTATGGGAAGCCTACCCGGTACTGCTGGGGACTCCATGAAGGTCCACAAATACGTGGTCTTCTGAGAAGAAGAGACACTTGGGTGAGTTGGTACGAGAGGGGTCGTAGGCTGTTCGGCCTGCAGAAAGCAGATCCTGAGTGCCCTCAACCGTCTTGTAAAAAGCTGGGAGCCGCTTCTGATGCGAGAGTGCCCAGCTCCTATCTTCTCCCTGTGAAGCACTAGCTTCAGGATCAGCTGCAGGAGTGCATTCTCTCACTGTCTTTCCTTTATGCTTCACGAGTTCTCATAGAATCATGGAACGGTTTG